ACTTTTTGTTTTACGTTTGACGGGTTGCTTCGGCACTGGACTTTCGACTTTTTGTTTGACGGACGGCTTTGGCTGTACGTCTGTGGTAACTGGGGTTATCTCTGACTGTGTACTAATATGTGGATAGCTTTTACACCGTCCAAAGACATCGGAGACCACTTGTTTCTCACTCGCGGTTTTCGGTTGGTTGTCTATCACTACATAACCGTAGGGTTTCGCTGTTTCTTGGACGTACGCAGACATAAATTTTGGTCTATCCTTCGCAAATATTCGCTCAGCAACAATTCCAATTTGTTTTCTGTCACTAGGACTACGGAACAGCACCAAATACTGAGCATTTCTGCTAATGTCTGTGTTGTATTTTCCTTTCGGAAACATGTTTTGCAACAGCAATATCACACTCGCATTGCGGTGTCTTCCTTGGGTAAACAGCTGTGATAACACGGGACTATCTATGGCTTGAGACATCAAATCATCAAACACCAATATATTGTTATACTCTGGATTGATTTCATGGAGATCTTCGCTTAGGTCTGGTAACCCTTGGGTGAACTGGATTTTCTTTTTAGCGCTCGTTTCAATGCATCATACCTTGGTTGCCATTGATTATAGAACCAGTAAATCTGGGTAGGTTTCTCACTTGGGTACTCGATACAGTTCTTGGTTAGTAATTGCTGCACAAAATAGGTTTTCCCACATTGTGTCGGTCCTACGACAAGCATTGAACACGTATGATGAAACTTAAACTCTGGGTAAGGCTTTGTCTCTAAACCCTGACTTGTTTGGACTTTGACTGGTTTAGACTGTTTTGATTTCATGCTTTGAGGTACTTCCGTAGGTAACTGCGGAGTCATTGGGTACTGAGGCATGCCCCAAAAGGGGTAAGGAGGCATGTTAGGTAACCTCATAGAGACTGTCGGTGAATAAGTGGCAGATTTTAACCATAGTTGTCTCTCTGCACTCGAAAGGTTATGCACTTGTCTTAAATGATCCCTTAAATAGAAGAGATTTTCTTTGAAACAAACAGGACATGTGCGTCCTTGCTTAAAAGACATGTTGACACCGTGAAGTGTTAACTGAATTGATGATATTCTCGCGAAAGTTGTAAATTTATACTTTTTCTGTTTTTACGATGAAACGCAGATGAAACGCAGATAAAACGATGAAATCCAGATGAAACGCGGATTCATCGCGGATGAAACCCAGATGAAACCCAGATGAAACACAGATGGAAATTTTTTAAAATTTTTAACTGTCCCGTCACATTTGTTAGTTGCAGAAATTTTCTGCACTTAAGAAGTTTATTGTGTTGACTTACTCTTTGAAAGACACATGTATAAGTAAACCTCCATTCAAGTTTTGTTTCATAGTAAGCTGATCCGCTAACCTCTCCGTGATTTCATCTACTTTGTTATAAGACCACTGATCGACGCGGAATTCACACGTATAGACGACCTCCCAATGTTCTCTCGAGGACGTCCTGATTTTTATCTGAGTTGTCTTGGTCGGTTTTGTTAATTCAATAATGTCATTCAACTCGTGGTATATAGGATACACGACTTCAAAGTCCAAATTTCTTACACCTTCTTTTGTTGGAGGTTTTTGGGTTATGTCAAACAAATACAGATTAGCTCCGAATACTTGGGTAGAACTGACCTTAAACAAAGGATCCTCCAAGGCTAATTCCATCCAATGTAGATTTTCCTTGTTCTCAGTGTACATTTCTCTTTCTGTTTGCTCATAGTTTGTCCACATGTCTTCTAAATCTTTATTCCACTGCTCCGCTGGAGTCTGTGTGTCATACGTTCCTACCATCACGATAACGTGTGTGAAATGAATGATATTGTAACTCTGACTATTCTTTTTTATGTCACTTATTGTAATCTAATTAGGATGCACTAAAAATAGAAACAAAGTCAATGGGCTTGCCTAAACTTGCCCGTAATCACTCAACCATGAACCATAAGTAATCATCAACAGAAACTTTTTAGAATGAATTCTTTTCAGGTCACACAGGTCAGGCTATAAATTGACATCGTTCTCACGTTAAGGACTCATTTTTATCTCACCTCTTTTCAAGGTAACATGTCTACACTCGAAGAAAACATCCCCCCACAGGGGATCAATCTGAAACCACTGAGAAAAATATGGAATCTACCGTGAAAAGTAAGAAATCTACCCTAAAAAGTTACCGTCAAAAACTGCAGGCCATCCAGGCACGCATCAAGTATCGTGAAAAAGCCATCAAAGGATTCAGACACCATCTCAAAAAGGGCAACTTTCCTAAACGGTTCAAATCATTACGGCCCTTCCCAAAAATGGAATCACCTGAAACACAATCCGTGGTCAATGCCGCCTGTGAACAAGTGCATTGTGTCATTTTGGACCAAATGATTTTGGATGAGGAGAAAAAACTGACGCAAGATCAAACCAGTTATGAAGCCCTGAGAAAGGAACGTGAAGGTGAACGCTCTCAGTTACCCAGAAAACTCAAGAAATTGTCTGTAACTCAGCTCATGCAGGAACTCACCGAGTTGCAGTCTAAATATGCACAGCTCTGGTCACAATTAAACAACCCCCAGTAAATAATAAAACACATGATTCAACTGTAAACTTTGTGTGATTTTTATTGACCTCTTAAAAACTAGCTAATGACAATAATTGTGAAGTGTAATATGTACTACAAAGTTCATAGAGTATGTATCCCATGCTAAAATGAGCTTGGTTGCTACCATGTCCATTAAGGCTTGATTCATGGTATAATAACGAGCTGCTTTTTCCTTGCATTGAGAATGTAATTGTATGTTTACGATCTCATAAATGAATTCACCCGTTCCTTTGGTTATAGTCACATCCATCATTGCCTTGTTTGGGTGTACAAGTTTCCATGATGATAAAGTCTTCATCAATTGGTTTCCCAATGCCGTTCTTGAAAAATAATCTTTGTTTGGTGTTTCCTCAGGACTAAAGTGTATAAAGAACTGATAAAATTCTTTCTCGTCTGTTGAAGGTTTCTCAGGTCCAATTGGTGAAAAATTGGTCTTAAATTCGGGCTGCCTTCCTTCTCGATGTCGAAGTCTTGCTTTATAGTATGGCCAAAAAAGCATAAATTGTTGCATATCTTGACCCTGCCGTTCTAAAATGGGTATATGCTCCATCATCTTACACTGTTTGAATGAATAGTAATTTCCGATAACATCTTTCACTCACTGATATACACTACCCAAGGTCCCTAGGGCAATGACGTCATCGGGGCAAGTCCTAGCCTGTGAAGTCTCCCAATGTAAAGGTAGATGATCATAACAAGATCGTACAATGTTATTTCCTACAGCCCATCTGCAACATAAAAATCCTCTCATCGCTCGCTCTTGTCTATCTTCATCTGTCATGTTTTGTAGTGATTCTTCCAACTGGTTTGTAAATAAAAACCACATGCTTTTATTTAAATTATACGGCTTGAAACGAAATCCTTTAGGCGGTTCTTTGTTTCCCTTCTGCCATCTAAACCAGAAAAGTTCTCCATTTGCTCTCAACATCATCTGAAAAAAACGCTTTGCCAGATCCATCCAATTCTTTTATCTTTTCCTCTGACAATCCAATGCGTTTATTTCGTTCTTCTTTGTTGATCTGTCTTCTCTCTCTAGCTTTAAAACAGTGTTTTGATGATGAATGATGTCTGTTTTTCGCTGATGTATGTCTCTTGAGATTTAACATGTTCATGCATGTCCTTCGTGAATCACTGTGATTACCAATTTCATGTCATTTCTTGATGAAAGAAGCTTGGCAAGTAACCAGTTATAACTCAGCCAATCGAGCATCGCTAACATAGTGCAAAGACTGGAATATTTGTCAGCACCCCTAAACATTTTGTGATTGGGAGAGCAAACGGTTCCACAGTTTGAAGGGTCAAATAACATCTTGTTTTCATGGATAAACGTCGGTTTCTAATCCAATGTTGAACTGCTCGTAATAAACCATCGCTCATTGACATCAACAGGTTTTCATTGTTTTCTGGTACTCTGTGTTGGTGCACTGTGAGATCCAATTGAATTTCTTGCACAGCGTCGTTATTTCTCACCACTCTGTCTGCAAATTCTGTTAACTCCATTGAAAGCACTGGGTTGTACAGATTATACCAATGTCCACTTTTAAAACGTTTTTCTTGCCAACAAGATAACTGCTCCAAATCTTGCATAGATACCGACTGCATTTTTCCTCCACACATATACACACTCACATTCACACTTGTTTTATGGTTGGGATAAAGTGAGTCATCACAATTTATCTACACTCGTACCAGTCCTTCTCCTAGTTAGGGTTAAAATGTTAATAAGCCCCAGTCCTTTGGGATTAGGGTTAGGGTTAAAATGCTAATAAGCCCTAGCCTCTTGGGATTAGGGTTAGGGTTAGGGTTAGGGTTAAAATGCTAATAAGGTTAGGGTTAAATCCTAGCCCCTTGGGATTAGGGTTAGGGTTAGGGCTAGGGTTAGGGTTAAACCCTAGTCTTTTGGGATTAGGGTTAGGGTTTGGGTTAGGGTTAGGGTTAGGGTTTAGGGTTAGGGTTAGGGGCTAGGGTAATTTTGATTTTTGAAATACCATACTGATTTAAGCCTAAACACACTGCCCCACTGAATTAACCCTAGACATTGCCTTGATGGATTTTCGTTTTTCGCTTTTAAGGTTTGGAAATTTTCTCTTTGGTTTTAGGTTTGGGAAATTTTCTCTTTGGTTGAAGGTTTGGGAATTTTCTCTTTGGTTGAAGGATTGGGAAATTTTTACCCAAATAACCCCACACATGTCTTTTTTGTAACACACTTTATTGTAACCTTACCTCTATTTTACAACGAACTAGTGAAAAACTAAACTTTTCCAAAAATTAACTAGAGCTCGCGCTACCAAGCAAACTTTGCTCTGACAACAAAACTTTGTATAAAACACTAAGAAAACTCGCGCTACCAAGCAAACTTTGTTCTCAAAAATGTATAAAACGTTTACAAAAATTACAATCTCACATAACCATAGGGGTATGTCAGTCCTGTGGTCTTTTCTACCACACGCTTGTCCCAATTGACTTGGAATATCTTGACCATATGCTCCAAATAAATGCTTTTGACTTTACTATTCCTGACAAAATGATTAAAAATTGTGGTTTTTAACTGACGCTTGCGTTCTTCTGGGTCTTTCAGTTCTAGCTGAATGTGCTTCAACATTGCCTCACAATTCAACACTTCTCTGACAGCGTGAGTGTTTTTTAACCCCTTGCTTTTGCATTCTGTTTTTCCACCGCTTGTTTTGTAACTGTAGGATTTTGGGCCTGCTGATCCGAACTCTTCTATGGTGTCTCCACCGGTCTCATCTGTAAAATCCCCCAAAAATTTACCCAGTGGTAATGTCTCATCTTCAGGTTTGCTCTTGTAGATGACAGAGTCTGTGTCATAATACAGGACTCTTTCTTTCAATTCATCCAAAGCTTCATATAGCTTGAGGCGTGCTATAGCTGTTGTGAACAAAGCGATAAAAATATTGCCTTTCACATTCGGGGCACATGCGCCTTCTTTTTTGACTGTTGTGACCTCCAACACTTCTTCGCTGTAAACATTGACACTTTTTACAATCACCGTATCATCATTTATTAGTTTTTCCCAATCTTCTACTTTCTGCAATGTACTGGTAGTTGGCTTGTTGTCAGCTTCTCCAAATTTCCCCCAAAAGCTGTTCAACATCACTTTAGCCACTGCTTTCCGGCCTGGATTGATCTCAATCTTGTCTTGTTCCAATTGAATGCCTTCATGCATTTCATACTCACTGACGTACTTGGCTTTTTGTTCGTCTGTTTCTACGTCTGACGGCCAGCCACTGGCTTCCTGTTTGGCCTTCAAAAACTTGTTGACGTAGGGTGCAAATAACCCTCTTTTTCTCTGGTTCTCTCCCCAGTGCCACGCCTCATGAATTTTTAGTATTTCGTATCCCCTTTCAACCGCTGTTTTCAGTTCCTCTGTACACCAAGTACCCGTCATTTGACGTTCTTGGTCTGTATGTTTGCAAAGATTACTTCTTTCATGCCATGGTTTTTCTAGCTGTTCTTGGGCACAGGTAGCACACAGAGTAAACATACATTTGTCACCAATTTTCATAGGCAATACGGGGTGAAACAATTTCTCTGGAGCCAACACATCTACTTTAGCGATACCAAAGTAATTGTCAATGTTCTGATCAGATGGATTTTTCATGATGGTCGGGTGTCCAATGGGATACGTTCCATATTTGTTGACCCACGGGTACAATGATGTGTAATCCACATAGTCAATTCTTTCGTCAGGGACTGTTTTGTGATAACAACAACTTAATCCAGTACGTCCACCAAACAAGGCTTCTTTTGGGTTTAAAGGAGCCGTCCATTCCAAATCTTTGATCATGTCTTGTAACTCTGGATCAGCTGCAAGTTTTTGTTTGAAGTTACATTCCCATTCCACTTTTACGGTGTAACCTGCTTTCCGTAACACGTCTGTCTTCTTTTTTGTTAATTCCAACATTTCATCCACCGTACGGTCTGGATGGTGCCAAGTTTTAACATGTCTTTGTTTCTTGCATTTAGGACAGCCATGAAACTCGCAGCCTTGAAATTCGTAGACTGTTTTCTTGAGGGGATCATAGCCATCTACACGTACTTTTCCCCACGATTCTATCATGAGAGTTTGTTCCCCGCCATTCGCTGCATGTTTGATTCTGTTGCCACCCAGCTTTTGATCTTGGATATGCAACCACTGAAATCCAATCTTGCTCTGTGCTGGCTTTATTCCACTCCATCCATGGGGTGGTTCGACAGCAATGGAGTAAGGAATCATTTGGTTATTCCGCCAAAAGTTGTGGCAGGCACTGGCAATGGTAATGTTTTCTTTCAATGGATTAAACTTGCATTCTTTTTCAAAATCAGCTGCAAAGGCTAGACAACCTTCCTTTAATAACTTGACATCACTTTCACAGTACTCCAACAATTCCTTTTTAAAGTTCCAGCTTTCTCCTTTCAATACTTCTTGGCCATGCCATTTTTCTACAGCTTCTTTTTTCTTAGTGTTCATGCAATTAGTCTCATAATACTTCAGGTCAGGAATCAGGCCCTCGTAATTCTGGTTTTCTTTTTTGTTAAATGAATGAGGAAAGTACCCCTTCTTCAGTTCCGTCAAACCAAACGTCTTGGTGAAACTTTCCAACGGCATATTTAGAAAAGACATAGAGTCCTTAAACTTCAGTCTGCTACATTCAAAGTACAAAATCTTCTGACCAGTCATCAGAACTTTAGACACCTTGATATTCATGTCATACAGCTGTTTGATGATAAACATGCCATCAAATCCACGGAAATTATGGAAGTATACTTGCATTTCTACTTGATTCCATCGCAAATTGTTTTCTTTTTCTATTTCTTGTAGCGCAGTCATTAGCTTGTTATGAAAGTCACGTAGACATGTCCTACCCCAACAGTGGTATTTCTTGTCTGACGTTTCACGTTCAAAGCAGATGAGATTCGGGGTAAATTGTCTGTTGTTGTCAATACTGCACTCGATGTCTGCAAACACTAACTCTCTGTGCTTGTCTTTCTTCCCTTCTGTCAGCATGTAATGATCCCCTTGGAACTTTTCTAATTGATCCTCGGGAATCTCTGTCACATCCACGCCCAAATCTTGTAATTGTTTCTTAACTCTCTCGATGGATTCGTGTCTACTTTTTTCATCTACTGGTTGTGTTGGTGGGTGTTCTTTTAGATAGGCCTCTTCCTGTTCTTTCCTCGTAATAGGGTTTTTTGCAACGTCTTTCACTTTTTCCCCGTCTTCAGTCGTCATTTCTTTGATGGCTTCCAGAATCTTTTCTTCTACTTTTTGTTTGTTGTCATAACGTTTATTTGCCTTGTAGATGTCACTCATAATAAAACATCGGTGGTTATACAGATCCACATAGTTTAAGCAATTAGAACATTGTCCATGACCACATTTATGAGTCATTCCTTCTTTCACTTTGTAAGAAACCAAACAGGTGTTACATTTACGATGCATCTCGCAAACACTTTTCAACGGTTTCTGGGGTGGAATCGTCAGATCATTATCCAACGCTACTTCTTTTATTAAGTCTTTTTCCATCTTGCTTTCTTCTTGTTTGTTTTTTTGAACCAAATGGTCCCGGTAGCAATCTTCCCCATAAAATGATCTGCAACATTTGCGACAGGTGATGGTTGGTTTACTCCAACCGGTGTAGTCAGGACACCCCTTTGATGTCTTGTTCCTACGACGCATACAGCTAGGGCAATTGGCATGCAAACAATTATGGTGCTTTGCGTCTTCTGTATTGTAACCCTTGCAACAATAACGACAAAACTTGCTACGGTTCATCACAGCTGCAATACTGTACACGCCATCGTAATGGGCTTTGGTTTCTCCATCACTGTCCTCATAATAGGTTTTTACAATCTGAATCACTTTAGGCGCAAACTTGTATTGTTCTCCAGTAAATATGACACCACCACGTACTGGGTCAACGACAATCAGCTGGTAACCCATAGGACCCAAATAGTCTTGAAATTTTTGAATTTCTTCGTACCCACATGATCCTTCTGGAACACCTGCCGCTGTGTATAACTGTTTGGCTTCTTTCAGTTGCTGGCTGTTCTTGCCTCGATCTTGGCGAATATTTTCGTAACAGTTCTTTTCACCTGCTTTTTTCTTGGCATGTTCTCGCATGACGACTATAGCACGGCCACAGCACAATTCATCCTTGTTTTTGATTTCATGGACACAGCGTAATTCTTTGACCACTTCTTCCCAAATACGCTCACCGGGTTTGTATCCTGATCGTTTTCCTCCTTTCACGTCACGACGTAAAAGAGTCATGGAGGCTGAAAAGCCTCTGTCGGACGAAATAAATTCCCCCGAATTCAAGACCCTCGCAATATGGCCTAACATCGACTGCGTCATTTGCAAACGGTGAAAGTAATCATCGGCAGGGATATACCATGTTTCACCGGTATTGCTGGACTCTTTGAAATGTTCCTTGCTTCCAATTTGAAGTGCCAGGTCATAGTTCTTTAGGTCAATCTCCATATCTTCCATCATAGCATCCATTCCTTCGGTCAACGCATAAACTGCTTCTACCCCTAAATCTTCGTCTGGTTTTGGGTCGCGTAGGTAATCCAATGTAAACGTAAATTTCTGGTCAATGACTTTGCCTTTTTTCCATTTTTTAGGTGTCCCCATTTTGGCAATGTTGGCTTGAAACAACGGACCCGTACCGCCATCAGTCTTGGCTTCATTGCCCTGGGAATCCATCTTTGTAACTTTCACATCAGGATTGGAATCTTCAGCTGAACGCTTGGTTCCACGGGTGCTCACTGCTCCGCCAGTCTGTTCCTCATTACCCAGTCTAGGTACTTTGCTGGCATGCAATAATTCCAGCCTTGTTAGTTCGGCAGACTCCTCTGCTTTTCGTTTTGCTGTTTCAGAATGGTATTTTTGACGTGAGCCACCATTTTGTCTTTACGACAAAACGTTTTTTCGCAATGTAGGCATGGTACTCTTGTATTAGTACCGCAATACTTTTTGTGACGGAAGAAATTTCCTCGATTCTTAATTTTGGTTCCACAGATAGGACAAGGACGTGGGTAAGTAATTGCCATGATGAGAGGTTTGCACAGTTCAACGAATTGTAATCAAATGATCTGTATGTGTTGCTGTCCCGCTTTTATATCCCCCGCTAGCCCTCTGTTCCAAAAATAGCATCAATTTCTGCTGACTCAACAAAACAAAAGGTGACGTCAATGGGCTTGTTCAAACTTGCCTGTAATCACTCAACTGTGAGTTTTTGTTAGGGTAAGATTTTAGAGTAAGGGAAAGTTTTAATCCTAAACATTGCATCCAGCTGATTTAGCTCTAAACACTGAACCCAACAGATTTAGGTCTAAAACAGAAAAAGTAAACGATTTTAGTTAGGTTTAGGACATTTAGTTCGGTTTTGGAAATTTACACTACGTCAACAGATTAAACACTGCGCCCAACTGATTTAGGTCTAAACACTGCGCCCAACTGATTTTTAGTTAGGTTTAGGACATTTAGAAAGGGCTAGGACATTTAGTTAGGTTTTGGAAAATAAATGACACTACATCAACAGATTAAACACTGCGCCCAACTGATTTAGCTCTAAACACTGCACCCAACTGATTTAGGTCTAAACACTGCGCCCAACAGATTTTAGTTAGGTTTAGCAAATTTAGTTAGGGCTAGGACATTTAGTTAGGTTTAGGACATTTAGTTGGGGCTAGGACATTTCGTTAGGTTTTGGAAATTCACTCGATAGAATTAACTCTTGACATTAACCTTGACAATACAAAAATGGTTACAGAACAAAGACCAGATTGACTTGACTGACTGCTGGTGATACTGGTTTTTTCCAGTATCCCCGATGTCCCCTCACTTTTGTTCATCCACATGCCCCCTTATACTACTGATGTGGGTTCAAGGCAAGCAAGACTTAAGCTGAAAGGACGTTTCCCTGATTAATTTCGCGTGCGATTCCTTAAAGAAAAAAAGTCTAGTTTTTTTTACTCCAGGAAGCAGTCAAACCTCATCAAGCGAGGTCAACGCGTATTTAGCGGTCCCCGTCAATTAAGCGTTCACTTACCAACTTTCAATTGACAATTTATTTTTGTTGATTTCATTAGACAATCAACCTGTTTTAACACACGTTTTACCGTATATGTACTGGAAGCAAAGTTTATATATGCATCTCATCAATTACTTTCTGTAGAGCCTTATACTAAGTTTCAAACAAAGCTTTGACTTGCCAATCGATTGGTTTTGTTTTATCACTCTCTTTCACCTCTGTACTATTGAGTTTAAATTTGTTTAAAAATGGAAAAAATATTTAAATAATACGGTCTACAATGATCTTTAAGTCAATCAAGACTGGTGGCATCCCGGGGGTACTCATTGGAATTCTTGGTGGTCGTGCGGTGTGCCGCCCGGTTCTCCAAGTCCTGACCCTATTTCAGACCAAAAAATGTCACTTTCCACACCGTTTCAAAACCTGGCCTGTAAGAAATTATGTCACCATAACTGATAAGAAGACTAACCCTAAAAAGGTTCCTCAAAACCCATTTTGAATTTGCATACGTTTATATACTCCCGTAGTTCCCTCGAAAACCATACCCGAATCCAGACCAAATCGGGCAAAAGTTTATACCCGTTTTCAGACCAAAACGGTGCAATAACCAAACCCTTTGGGGCGGCACATACTCCCTCCCGGGGTAGCATGATCTATGTACGTATATAGGCAACCACGAGCGCTTCAGAGTACGGGAAAAATAGAAATATTTTCGTATGTTGGTTTAATTTGTATTTACAAATTTCTCGTAATTGGAATAAACGCGTTCTTTAGATGTCTGTATTTGTAGTCAACTGTGAATGCTGTCGAAGTGTTTTTCAAGGCTTAATCTTTTTACGGTTTTAATAAAGCCCCGTGGTATTTCAATAAGTACCCGTTTTCAGACCAAAAAGGCGCAAAAACCATACCCTTTGGGGCGGCACATAGTCCCTCCCGGGGTAGCATGATCTACGTATGTTTATAGGCAACCACGAGCGCTTTAGATTACCGGAAATAGAAATATTTTCGTATGTTAGTTTAATTTGTATTTACAAACCTCTTGTAATTGGAATAAACGCGTTCTTCGGATGTCTATATTTGTAGCCAACTGTGAATGCTGTCGTAGTGGTTTTCAAGACTTAGTTTACGGTTTTAATAAAGCCCCGTGGAATAAACACCGACGACTTTCGGTCTTTTTTCACTGTACGTGTTTGGCGATAATAAGAGCCAGAGAATTTAATTTAATTTGTTAACCAGTGAATTTCTTGTCCTAATTAAATTAGTGGCCTCTTGGTTTCGGAGGGTGCGCTTTTTTCCTTATGTACGCGTTAAAATTTACAGAAATGACTTTCAGTTTCAACAGCTATAATAGTGTCTATTCTGATAAATTAGCGTCCATATAAAGAGAGACAGGTGATATTCTGCTGTCGATGATCAATACGGTAAACCTTATAATTTCTCTGCACTGTAATCTTTTATACCGCTGTCGAGAAACGTTTTCAGTCTCTGTACTCTACAAAAACATATCACAGCAGAATGGCGAAACTCATATAAATCATGGTTCTTTCCCAGGGTGTTCTCCTACTCCGAGAGAACACTCTGGGAACGAAGTTAAATATATAAAAAACCCCTTAGTCATATAATTCTTTCTAGTCCAAATATGGCACACTGAGTACTCCATATAACTCGATACCAGCCAGGGACATAGCATGCGTGCCTGGCACACTGGTCGACATGTCTTTTATCTGGACTATCTTGAACTGGCGGTAAGCTCTTACTTCCCCTTTCACAGACCATGTTTTTGTTTTATATGACAAGTCTCTATTTCCTGACAGCATGTGTGAAAAACGCTGCGACCTCCAATCAACTTGATG